TTAGGTCCTCCGGACCTAGGGTGGTTGGCTCCTTCCCCATCCTAGATATGGTGGTTGCAATACTGTCGCATCCCATGATGCATCTGGCACTCTATGCGAGGACAGGGACATATCATTGGTTCAGTCCGAGCACGGATACTCGGCCAAGCTCCCCAGGACACTACAGTGTGTATAGACAGGGATCAAATAGCGTCTACACGGTACTCAGGCCCTAACAGCTCGGCCATTAACCTATAGGAGGACAGGGAACACGAAAACGAGGCAGACTGGGACCGCTTACTAGGCCCTAAAGGTTTTTACAGCCCGGAAAGCTCCGTGTAAGTGGCCGCATAAATTTATTTACAGCTACAAAGGAAGACTTCACAGCCTGTTTTGTAGGTCAGGGTTGCCTGAGGAGAGTAATGAAGTAATACCTCGCTTACATGTTCACCATACTCGGTATAAGAAGTCAAATTTTCTCTCCTTTCTCTCGCCTACGACCATACCACAGGGAGAACACCGGTTCTCGTCTGATCACCGAAGTTAAGCCCTGTCGGGCGGGGTTAGTACTTGGATGGGTGACCGCCTGGGAATACCCCGTGTTGTAGGCTTCTTCTTTTCATTTATTTTTCCTGGAATTTTTTCATCATTTTTGCTGTTTTACCCCTAGCTGGGATGTACCTCTGCTGTCAGTTGCCAAGTTACGCCGAATTATTCTTCGAAGCAATTAAGTTGTGGGGTCATTTTTTTTCACAATAATACACTGCAAAAACTAAGTTCTTACTTTAAGTGAAAAAATTAACTCGCATTGAGAGCAATGGCACCTCATAGTTAGGTCCCTCAGGTAAGGGAGTCATCCTCGTAAACTAAGGGCCTTATCTGATTTTGGACACTTAAAATGAGACACACAATACACTAAGTATAAGGTCAATAGGAACCTTGATTTAAGGCAATTCAAACTTATATTAATGGCTTGATGGTTCTTGTTTTAAAAACAGATAAGTTCAGTTTAAGGGCATACAGTTTTTAAATCAAGAGTCCTTAAATCCCATATTAAGCTCTATATATTCCTTGTTACAAGGGGTCTAATCATCAAAGTAAGGCAATTTTCCCCTGATATTAGTGCAATTAAATTTCTTACTGTAAGGGTATATTGGCCTCAAATCAGGAGTTTGTTCTCTAAATATTCTGTGTTTGAGGTACACAGTCATCAAAGTAAGTGACTTATCACTAAATGAAGGTGCAGTAAGGGTTATCACTGTAAGGGTACATTGAACTGAAATCAAGGGATTTTCTTACTTTATGTCCTTCAAATAAGGTTTAAAGTCACCCTGCAACAAGGTCTCAGGCGGTCCCTCATTTCAGGCAAGACTAGCACATCTGCCAACAAGTAGTTAATTAAACATTCATAAGGTAGAGATAATGGCTTGAATCAAAAATGAATATCAATAACTGACTGTTTATTTAATCCTCATATGGCAGATATCACATTTGCTGTGCACATACAGTACATATGTAATTAGTTCCCAATAACTTGAAACACTCAAACAAAAAAGCCTCACACTCAGTGAGAGTAGTCTGACAACACTATCAAAGTCTCATGTTTTTTAAAAGCATGATCAACTGTTCACTCAGGCACTGCCATAGCAGAGTTACTGGCCATTGATGAGTGGGAGCTTTTCATGGCGGCAGTCTGGTAACGAACCAGGGCAGCTGCGTATTTTGAGTGCCTCTGATTGACGAAATCATTCAGCAGGTACTCTTGCAAAAATAAAAATGCACCTTTCGCTTCTGATGGATACTCGAAATTGAATAAATAGTATGATCCTATTAGAGCTGCAACTCCAGTGCTGATAGTACTTGTCTCAAGTATCGAGTTTCCTCCACAAGCAAGGAATGTTTGCCAGCCATTTCCTCTTCTACAGATTATGAGGTAAGGCGATGTTGATGGAGGTTTCTTGAGAAACTCTGTGACAGACTTGCCATTCTGAAATTTAAAAGAAGGGGGCCAAGTGTCAATAATAGTTGGGGTCAGAATAGAACATACTGTATAGTTTATAAAATAATCAATAAAAAGCAAGTGCTCTGATATTTGGCTACAAAATGGTAAAAGTAAAAACACAGATAATATCTCCTTAATAATGGATTATTATTTTTGTATTATAGTAAAAGTATGAAAGATCTCTGAGCTGTACAGAAAAACTTGCCGACTAAAGCTACGTGTTAAGATAGCATTTCTCATTCTCCCAAACTTCTACGTCATGTAAATTTTTAGTACACAACTGTATTTGCAAAAAAGCTGACAATTTATTGTATTTCTTACTGTACACATGAAAGAACAATAACTAGCGAAAACAACAACTATTTTGTAGTATGTCAGTGAACTTCAAATGATTTGCACATTTTCAGTCTTTACCCTTTAAACTCCAATATCAACACACAATTTCTCCTTACTGACTGCCATAATATTGTCATAGTGTTAGTTCTGCGAATTTAATGTTACTTAATGAAGACAATTTCTCCCAGCTTGTGATTAATCTTTGTCACTTGCATACTTGGTATTCTTTTGGTACTGCAAGAAGAAAATAAGTGTAGATCACTCTTTGGACTTGAACAATGAAGTAGTGTTTACTTCTGGTTGTATGTCTCCCAGGGATCTCAGAGATTTAAACAAGCATTAATTGCTGTGGTGTTTCCACCCATAACATGGAAGTACTGACATGCATAAAGGCTGTGTTATCTCACCTCTGCAACATTAACAATGAAATCAGATCCTGTATCCTTCAGTTTTTTTACACCAGGAAATAGCTTGGTGAGTGAGAGCAGAGCTTTAATCTCGTCACCTGTTAACAAATAATTCACAAACTTTACCAAATTTATTGGTCACTGTATACAGTTAGCAAAATGTGTCGCTGGCTTTAAATAATCATTCTTTGACTGCAGAGCTGTTAATTGATTTTCACTCTTGGTCTATTTGGTACCAGGTAAACTGCCCATAATAAAGGGGTGATTAAGCTGGAAGTTCAGCTGTTTTTCTATTTTAAAAATATATTTTCCTGATGGACCTCTGGTATTAAACTTGTGTGCTTTATATCTATTAACAGTGACAGCTGATCTTTAGGTTACATGAACTTTTGCTTACCTGTGTTGGCTTGCTGTTTTAAACGTTTAAGGCCATCTTCCACTATAAGCCAAGCACTCTCACTGAAGTACTTTTTTACATGGGGTACAAGTGGTAGTTCATCATCCTCAAGCTTCCACTCAGTTGGCAAGAATTCCACAAGTGCCTCATCCAAGGTTATGTCAGTAGAAATAGCACCACGTGCATCTTTTTCACTCACAAATTTGCTGAGGATCCTGAACTTTCCCTCATCTGACACTAAAGAAAAGGGTCTTTTTTTTAATTCTCCTTTACAGCTTTTACAAGCCCTCACAAGATTGCTTTTATAGAGCCACAACACTACAAGTGGCACCCCTGACAGGCATTGTGGGTTGAACTGTGCACCCTTTTTGTTAGTAGTTAGCAGTATTATAGTACTCACCAAAATTGACAGTGGGGATATCATCTTCAAGTGCGCAGACGTCACCAAGCATGAGTATGATATTTGGAAGTACTTTCTTCCAGTTATCTACTGTTGCACTGAAATCACTGACAGGTACCTTTGCCTTGGACAAAGCCCTTGACAGCTCCTCTTTGAACTAAAACATTGCAAAATAAATATTCATAATAATCAAATTTATTCATCCCTCTAAAAAACAATTGTCACAACTTTCCAACAAAAGGTAAATTATGGAAAAGTGGTGTTCAAAGATGCACTTCATCAGCACTTAACTTGCCAAGTATATAATCCATTAGTGAAAGATTTACTAAAATTTTCACAGTATAGTAGCACTAGACTGTTATCTTAAAGAATCCTGTTGTAATACTGTATAATTACTTGTCTAGCACTTTATATAGCACAGAAATAATGTTACAGCTACATACATAGATTTCTTGGCCAAGGATGAGCCAATCTTTCAAGAACTTGGAAACACGACTTTTTCCATCTGAGACTGCTACAAGCTGCTGATGGCGAGCGCTAAAGGTCACTGAAAGAAGATTCTGCAGTACACCAGCATCTTGACCTCTACTTTTACTTTGTTCATCCTTCAACCTCTTGATGTTTCTTTCCATTACAGCTGGATCTGAATCCAAGTCTTCTAAATAAATAGAAAAGGGAAAAAATATTTGTATTGAGTACATTGACAATGAATGGAGTGTAAACAATATGCAGCTTAGAGTCCTTAGTAAAAATGAATACTATTGGAAAACATAGCCCCATATGCAAACAGTCAGGGCAATAACAATCTTACAACCAAGCCAGTATCAGGAGTGTCTTGCAACCAATACTTAACAAGAATAACATACTTTAGCATCTGACGGCTTAAGGGTTAATGAAAAGTTTAGACTTACCAGTTGAATTTTAGTTTCATTTACTCTAAAAAGTTTTAAGGTGCACTACTAAAAGTACCTTCAGTCTTTTTCTTTTTCCTTGCTTTCTGCTCCACAAAATCTGGACTCCTTTTATTTTCACGATAACGCCAGTTTTCAAATTTCTTCATGATTCCCTTTTTGAGGGAGTACTGCCACATTTGAGAAATAAAATCAAATTAACCCACAGATAAATATGTAGCTTACTAAATCCACCAGTTTCAAGCATTTCTATTTTCATTACACTATATTAGTTAAGCAACCAATCAGTGGCAATTATAACCATTCAAGCCCCAAGTGATCAACAATAATGTTCTCCTTCCAATCCAAATAGAATGTCAAGCAGACAAGTGATGAGAATAATGCAAATCAACAAGGAGAAAATAACTGTCTAGATTTACCACCAAATTCTCGTAACTGTCATCAGTAATAGCAGTCAGTATGGAGAATTTGTGTGATATTGGCTTAAAGGGTAATGTACTATCAGCTAGGTCAAGAAGGTAAAGAAGATAATACTTTACAACTCCTAAAGTAAATTGCTAAGGTAGGGTCAGTTAATATGTATCCAGTTCGTAAGTTTGCAAGAAATCAAATATCTCACCCAATACTTGAAGTCCTCTTTTGGAGCTGGTACAGTTTGCTCTCTGTTCACCATCTTGCGAGGGTCTGCATCAGCAAGTATAGGGTATTTTGAAATTAGCTGTTTTGCCAGCCATTCACAGCACGCTGGGGATGGCGTGTCTGTGTACACCCACACACAAGTTGCTACAGTTTTTATAACTTTTGCTCTGTCCACGTCAGTTATGTTGCCACTCTTCAGATTTCCATCTGTAACTTTTCCAAATTTAGATGGAATAACAAATCCAGAGGGGAGACGATCTTTTGGCTTACTTAGCACCGAAACTGGTCTATTTGAAACTTTTTTGGGAATTGGAGTTGATGTTCTTTCTTTTCTAGAGGATAAGGAGTCATCAGACATGCAACCACCAGATGAGGATGAAAGTGTCAGTGTGGACTGTACTGAAACTTCCGATTCATCATCACTGAAACAATCACTCTGAGATGCTGACTGTTTGCTGGCATCTACTACAGATGCTTTAATCATGCCAGTACTAATGGGATCTGACACAGAACCATTCACCTGTGTGACAAAGTACACGTAATTTAAGTACAGTCAAGTTGTTTTTGATACTGCAACAGTGCACGCACATGTTATACTAATTTATTAGCTCTACATTAACAAAAATATATTTCTCTAGTAATAAAAATCTTCTGAACCCAACACAACTTACAAAAGAATGCAAGAACAAAAAAAATTCAAAATACTTGTTTCTGTGAGCACCAAAATTGCCATAAATAGCACTAAATTTAATGCTCAGAATGTTGAAAATTGCATTTCCCAGTTTCTAGATTTCAAACTTTTGCAACCAGATAGCCCCTAGTTTGGACACAGCATCCTATTCCAGCATCAGGAGCTGCTTACTACAAACTTATTGAAAAGCCCTGTATGTAGCTACCTGATATTTAACTTGGCCACCAGATCAAAACCTACTGGTCTGGAGTAACCTACAGTATTAATAAGAGAAAGACTAGTGACTTACACAATTATACATTCCCTTCACAATCTTCCGATGGGCGAGTCTTGGAAAAACCTCCTTAAAGTCCTGCTCATCCATGTCAAGGAAGTCTTCCCTAGTGATAGTGTTGTCTATTTATAAGTATAAGGAAATAATTGCAATAAAAAATTGTATATGGCATTTTTTCTGTGCCAAACAGTACATGTAAACTTTAATGCTAGTCAAGATTGATTGCAGAATTCAAACTTGTCTGTTTAAAGCAGCTTTTATAGTGTCACTTTAGAATGCAAATTGCTCCAAAAAGAGGTCCAAAGGTCCCATATCAGGTACAGCAGAATCACTGTCTTTGCATTTACACAGGAATATAAAATTAAGCATGCAGATTTCAACTTTATGATGGAATAAGAAATGGCATGTATGAAAATTCATACTGTGCCAAATTTGTGACAAAAACGTCTAACACACATGATAACTGGAAACTTGCCGCTATGAAAAAAAGTGTAAAAGAAATAACAAAAAGTAAGATTGTTAAGTTAACCCTTTAAGCCCCAATATCCACATATAAACTCTCCATACTGATTTTCATATTAGTAGAGAGAGTTTGATAGCAGATCAAAGCATTTTCTCTTCAGTGATCATTTTATTAATTCTCATCAGCATTTCTCTTGGCAACATATTGATATTGTTAGGAGAAAATTGATGACGGTCGCTATTGGGACTTAAAGGCGAATTTCGACAAACACTTTATCCTGCACGAAATGAAAAGACAGTTTCAGCAAGCGACTCTGATATTTCAAGAAATGCAAGAATATTTAAGCTTAAGTCAGGTGCAACTGTTTTGATTTCACGACGTAATGTTTGGCGGGAAATTTCCCGCGCTCATTGTACCACGGAGTACTGGAACATTCCCTGCAATATTTGAGTATTTATCCACTATGAATTAACAACAATTTTAAAAAATCTAACCTTCAAAAGCCACGATAACCTCATAAGGAACCGTAGGAAAGTGTCTCTGGAACCATGAAATAAATTCCCTGCTTTCGTCCAAGGCTTTGCATTCGTCTCGTAATGACTGAGAAGACATCTTCAACAAAAGACAGCGACAACAACGGACTTGACAGCGATAGAGTCAAAGAAAACCGGACTAATTGCAAAGGAGGTCGAAAACCGCTCAAAAACATATAAAAACTGTCAAAGTCGACCACAAAACCTCGGACACTTCCCTCTCAGCACAAATGACTTACCAACCGCGCGAAAATGCCTTCTTCATTGACGTACTTTCTTTGACTCCAGTAGACCAATGAAAAGCCGTCATTTGTAGCATGTGACATGCCACAGCTGTGCAAAAGGGAAATACGCTGACCACGAAGATTTTGGGTATTTTCAACCCCAGAGCTCTCTCGGGCAAGGCTGGATCGCAAATGGCGATGTGGAAATGTGGGTTATGTGTGGGTTTTGCGGCCTTGGTTTTAAGCCAAATGTTAAGCCACATTCGTCAAGTTCACTCCGGTGATAAAGACTTTAAAATTACCTGCGGTATTTTAAACTGTGAAAAGTCGTACACGAAGTACGGTAGTTTCTATCGGCATGTCAAAAATCAGCATCACACTTACTTGGATATTCCAGCAACATACTTGAACACTGATGAAATTTCAACGGCTTTGAGGGGTCCAAATGGAAATGAGCAGATCTTTCAAGAAAGTTATCCTGAAGAACTGCAGGTATGTTTGCTAAAATGTGATTTTAAGGATGGATCCCAAAATTTGCTGTCGGGTTGGGGGGGGAGGGTGGTGGGGGAGACGCCTTTCTGAGAGCTTTTGAATGGGTGGTTAGTTTTGAAGCTTTATTATTGTAAACACACTTTCAATCAAGTTTTAGCAGAACTAACAAAATGTTGTTGCTGTAATTGAAATTTTACCTTTTTTCTTTTTTGTTTTGTTTTGACTTCAGAATAATACAACTTTTATGGACCCTCAATCAATGTTTGATGTAAATATAAAAATATATCATCTACAGGAATCTGATCCATCTGTACATGAAGGGACCTCTCCAACAACTTCAACAGCATGTATGGACGAGTCTTTGTCTGGAAACATTGATCCAGTTCAAGAAGAAGACATAGACTGTCATGACAAGTACTGTTATGACAAGCAGAGAGAAGCAGCACTTTTTCTTTTACAACTAAAGGAAAAAGCAAAAATTCCACAATCTGTGATTGACAATGTTGTAGATGGTACCACAGGTCTTTTAAAGAAATCTATTCAGCGTTTGAAAAGGAGGGTAACAGAATTTCTAGTCTCTGAAGGACAGGATGATCTTAAGGCATCAACGAGTTTTCAGGATATATGGCAAGATGAAATCACACCATTTGAAGGGTTGGAAACCCAGCACCACCAAGAGGAATATATGAAACAATCATTTCCCTATGTGGTATGTGTAAGAGGATACTTAACCCCTTATGCCGCAGTGTCAATGTATTATGTAAAATATATTATATTATCATCACTGGTCTACTGGGTAATAACTAGGTTAAAAATGTTTCTGGAAAACCTTGATCAACTTCTGGAAAACTCCCTCTACATTTATAACCTTGATCTTAGCATGGAATATTTTCTCCAAGTATAACTTCAATGCAAGTCATAATACCTTGGACACTTACCAAACTTGGGAGAAAACAAGAAAATTTTACTATGCATTCTTCTACCCTTATAACACCAACACATGTTGTTCTATTACTGGGATTTTTAGAACCCCCTTCCCCCCAGACAATATCAAATATTTGAGCTGTCCATGTACTAATCTGCGCTTTCGCAGTAAAGTGGGAATTGTCACACAACTTTTCATCTGCATTGTTGCTATGAATAAATGAGAATATGGGGGAGGGGTTAAAAGCTGATGGTACTATAACTGGGAGGGAGTAGGGGTAGACAGTCACGATTTTATGGTGCATGCTCAGCCTTTTTTTTTTTTTTTAGGAGCCTAGATGTGTAGTTCTAGGAAAGACGCTTAAACCTGTGGCACATGGAGCCAAGCGTAGGATCAAAGAGAAGTCAGATTGCTTTTATTACATTCCAATTATAGAAACATTGACAGTTTTAGTAAACAACCAAAAGATACGAGAGGAAGTTCTGAAAGAACCACAGTATAGAAATGACGGAAAACTTGGAGACTTTACTGATGGTGCTTTGTTTTCCAATCATGAGATATTTTCCAGTGATGCACAGGCTCTACAAATTATCCTCTACTATGATGACTGTAACCTCTGTAACAGTGCTGGGAGTCGTGTCACCAAACACAAAATAGCATTTTTTTATTTTACCTTAGGAAATTTCAGGCATGAGGTACGCTCTAAACTGGATGCCATTTTTCTCTTAGCTGTTGTTAAAACATCTCATCTTAAGAAATATGGATTTGATGAAGTATTGAAGCCTTTTCTGAATGACTTAAAGAAACTTGAGGATGGATACTTCTTCACTGTAGACAATAGAAGCATTCCTATTACAGGTGCTGTTTCAGTATTTTGTGGAGACACTCCAGCTTCTAACCTTGCTGGGGGCTTTAAAGAAGGTGTCTCATTTGCTATGAAATGTTGTAGGCATTGTGAAGCCAATCAGAATGACATTCAAAATATAGTCCATGAAGAAGACTGTGTTTTAAGAACTGGGGCTCGTCTAGAGGGTCAGTATGAAAGGATGGAAAACAATCCAGCTCTTGCAAAACATTATTCGGTGAACTATGGTTTGGACAGGAGAAGCATTTTGAGTAAATTTCCAGGATTTAAAATTACCGAACAATTACCACAAGATTTGATGCACATCCTTCTAGAGGGTGCGATACCATATGTTGTCAAATGTATGCTTCAGTATTACATTGCCAAGGGTTTGATAACTGTTGATCTTATAAACTCAAGGTTAATGGAGTTCCAGTATGGATATTCACAGGTTAAAGACAAACCAGAACCAATTAATCCTGAATCTTTGACTGAGAAACCAGGAAAGCACATTGCCAAAGATGCTGCAAAGATGTGGATGCTTTTTCGAATATTGCCGTTTATTCTCCATGACATCATTGGTGAAGGTGACAAACCATTTCAAGTATTTGAACTACTTATGAAGATATCAAGTCTACTGCTGGCTCCAGTATTGAGCTGTGAAACTGTCTCATTGCTCCAAAGAATGACTGCTCAATTTCTGACAGATTTTAAGGATGTTTTCAATAAGCAGCTAACTCCAAAGATGCATTACTTGATTCACTGTCCAAGACTTATCCTGCTATGTGGACCATTAGTTAGGGTTTGGAACATGCGATTTGAGGCAAAGCACAAAGATTTTAAAAGAATAGCAAAAAATGCAAGTTGAAAAAACATAACCCTTTCACTTGCAAAAGGTGAACAACGATCAATGATGGCAAAGTTTGCAGACCCGGGCAGCCATGGGCTATTCAATAACTTAGTGAAAGGACCCCTGATTCCCCTCACCGGGGAAAACTTTAATTTTGCCAAACACCAGTTTTGCCTGATTAATCAAGTTTCTGATGAAGTGATTGTTCACATTTGCAACTGTAAATGGGTCACTCTTTATGGCACAAAGTACATCCCTAATGAGTGCAGTTTATTGTTACGAGCAGAAAATGAGAAACCTGTCTTTGGTGATCTTCTTGGTATTTGGATAGCAAATGGAGTTGATGTAATTTTTAGAGTTGCTGAACTTGAAACAGTTACCTTCAGTGATACTCTTAATTCATATGAAATTGACAAACTCGGACAGGCCATGGCTGCACTGTACATTACCCCTGACAGCCTTCTAAGCCATGAAGTACTACATAAGTGGGAACTTGATCACAAAATGTACATCAACACTAAGTATGATGTGACCGACTTATGTGATTAATTTTAACTGTTAGTTTGTTATCTGAGTTGGAATGACTTTGTTATCAATTTATGGTTTTAAATTTCTCAAGCAAGACTTATCTTAAATGTCATTGTTAGGTTGTGTTATGTGAGTTGACATGACTTTGTTATTAAAGATTTAAATTTGAAAACAAGAGGTTAGTCTGAAAATTAGACTTTGCAAAACTTGATTTACCTTACATTAAGGGAATTAGTTACTACATTTAATAACAGTTTTAATAGTGATCACTTTCTTTGAGGTTATAAATACATTATCACCCCTTTTCTGAGGGCCTTTCATTTGTTATGTTCTTTTTCTAAGGGAACAACCATTGCTTTAAGGTACACATCGAGGAATGTACCTTTATTTAAGTAATACATTAACCATATTCTCTCAATTTAAGTGCAATTTACATAGCCTAACACTTTTTCTAAGGTGAATTAGATTATGATCTGTTTATAGTAAGATCAGATACCTTGACACAAGTCTTGAAACTCTTACTTTAAGTATTCTAAACCTTATTTCAAGGTGATATCCCTCTTTACAAGCAAGTAAGGAAATGTCACTTCTTAAATCAAGAGTCCTAATTTCTGCAGTGTATAGCTTCCACATAGAACGCGCGTTGGTTCGAGAGCGCGCGGTAATGTTCCATTTTGCTCAGTGACTTCAAATCACCGCTTGTGACATCACTTTTTTCAAATCACAGCTTCCACAAGTCTACGTTCGCCTTTAAGTGCAACTACAGGCCGAGAAAACGGCCGCGAACGCCATACAAACAAGCCAAAAGGCCATATACAATTTGCCCTCGATCCACAACACAAGACCGAGTTCGTTAATAGTTGTTATTAACGGTCGACGGTTTAAATTAACCGCCGAAACCAGCGCCTTGCAGTAAAGACCAACGAGAGAAAGGGCGAGTTCAATATATACAAGCAAACAAGTACTGATTCAAAGCTGTACTCACGGTATAGACGGATGTTTATGATCCTACTTGCTTGCTTTTCAATCGTCGACCATAATCCTCTTTCTTGAACATACACATCTCTGGCGACTTTCACTTCGCCTCACCTTTGAGAGAGTAAAACATTTCAGTCTCTACTCTGCTCTACTGAGCGAGCTGCTTTTTAAATAACATGCTAGCTTGGCTACAAATCAACTTCAACATATTCCAAGATCATTTACCTTCTTTCTTGGTCCCCGGAGACTTCTTTCTCTCCGTGATTTATCGATCGATCCATCACCTGTATGAGAAACAATCACACGCGCGCACGTTACCAGTTGTATCATTGGCGCGCGCGTTTTTAAATAACCTGTGGACCGCGCTGAATACAATAATTACTACACAACCGGGGACTAGCGCGAACGCAGGTCCCCACTACCAGAAATTATACGCTCGAGTTACCCACATTTGGGGTAATCGCAAGGGTCAACCCAATCGAAGTGCAATGAGGGGGCCTCACCTTGAGAGGACTGCCTCCTTGATCACAGTGCCTCCCGCGTCAGGTAAGTTTTTTTTGTGTTTACAGTGAAAGGCCGGCCCCCAGTAGGGTGGTGCAATGCCGCCAGACTTAAAAGTTTAGTACCACACACAGCAAACCGGGGCAGTACACCAGTACAGAAACTGACTGGGGGAATCGAACCCCCACCCCTACATACACAGTACAGGACAAAACAAATACAGGACAAACATGTACAGGACAGCAGAACAAGTTAAAAGACGCGGGCACTAGAATATCTAAAACAGCTAAAAACACGCTCACTCAAACGCCCCAAAAGGCAAAAAAATCTAAATGCACACTCACTAAAACGGGCACTAAAACTAACAAGCACACACACTCAAACAAAGACTGGGGCCAGTACGACCAACAAAGGAGACCAGCAGATCCAGCAGAGGGAACCACAGTGCAACCAACTAAGGCGACCATAGAGACCACAGACACACTCACTCAAGCAAAAACTGGGGCCAGTACGACCAGCAAAGGAGACCAGCAGATCCAGCAGAAGGAACCACAGTGCAACCAACTAAGGCGACCATAGGAACCATAGACACACTCACTCAAGCAAGAAAGGAGAAACACAAAGGAGAAAGGGAACACAAAGAAACACAAAGGAGAAAGGGAACACAGTTACAACAAGATTGAGAGGCCAGCCTCACCAACCGAACCTAAGGTACCATTGGCGCACCACTGACGCAGGAAGTAACGTTTGCGACGAGCGGAGCGGAAGCGCTTAAAATAGAGCGGCAAGTAGAAGGCCACCCTGGCCTTCACTTGACCAATAACAACAATGGCCCCAGGACGAGTGTCCTGAAAACGAAAGTCGTTCCGAGCTAACCAAATAAAAAACTTACAGACATTCAAGAGGTAAGCAAAGATCCTCGGGACAGAGAGCAGCTCGTCCGGAGAGAAACCAAAAAGAACATGCCGTAACGACAAAGAAGGCAACGAAGGGCTACACTTAAACATCAGGGACTGAAGCCACGAGAGGACACTTTGCGCCAGAGGACACTCATAAAACAAATGGGGAGCGGTCTCTACAGGACAAGAACAAAAGCAGGTAGGGTCAAAGCCATAACCAAAGGAGATGAGACGGTCTACAGTGTATAGCACTCCATGCGCAATCTTCCAATTAAGATCAGTAACGGGGCGGTCCAGCGGAAAGAGAAATAACGATTTCCAGGTGGTCGGCCAGTAGAGGTCACCAAACGTGGGACGAAATTTAGCAACACAGTGCGGTGGGGACAGACTAACAGACAACAGGTACGAGTAGCAAGACTTAGCAGACATGCTCACTGCCGACATAGCGTGCTCAGATGATTGAGAGCCCATAACTAGACAGGAGCGAGGAACCGAGAAGGAACCATTGACACTACGCCAAGACAGCAAAAGTGACTGGTAAAACGGAGGCAAGGCAAGAGGACTGTAAGCAAAAGGTCGCGAAAAAACATCAAGCACAGAGCAGTTGAAAACAGAAAAGAACCAGAAAGTAAGGAAGTGAGACCAATTAGCGTAGGATGAGAGAAAACGCCTCACCCATTGAACGAGAAGAGATGAAACCTTCCGCTGGACATCCACTACCGAGAAACCACCCTGATCAGGGGATTGAACGATAACAGCTCGACGTACAAGTTCACGTTTACCGCCCCAGAAGAAATGGAAGGCAAGCCTAACCAAATTCAAAATGACCCAGTCAGGCATGTGGATAAGAGAAGCCACATACCAGACTCGGGACAAAGTGAGTGCGTTAATGACTAAGGCTTTGCCCCTAAAGGATAGAGACCGCTGCCTCCAAGAGGAAAGAACCTTCTCAACAGCATCGATCCTCGGTTGCCAATTGTCAACATCGAGGTCACCAGGACCAACAAAAACGCCCAGCGTCTTGATTTTAGCCGAGGACCAATCGAGTGGGACTGGAGGATCCAGCCTACCAGCCCAACTGCCTAACCAGAGGCCTTTCGATTTGCTTTGGTTCAGTTTTGCTCCCGAGCCCTTCTCATAGACGGCATACACCTCAAAGATTGCACAAATGGAATCGTCAGAAACGACAACAAGAGACGTGTCATCTGCATATTGCGAGATGGGCGAAAGAGGAGACGAGGACCCAGGGAGGGTCAGGCCTTCGATACGGGGATTGGCTCTAATGTTAACAGCTCACACTTCAGAGACAAGTACATACAAGAGCGGAGACAGAGGACAGCCTTGGCGCACCCCCCGTGACAGCGAGAAGAAAGACGACAGATAACCATTGACAGACACAGCACTGGAAACGTCAGTATAAAACAAGTCCACCCATTTAACAAAAGATTGGCCGAAGCCCATAGATAGCAAAGTCGAACGCATGAATCCCCAATCCACTCTATCGAAGGCCTTTTCCTGATCAAGGGAAAGGATGGCAATGGGTTGTCCAGAGAAAGAAGCATAATGGACAACATCTCGCAAGAAGGCAACGTTTTCGCCAATGTACCTCCCGGGACCCCCACGTCTGGTCATCAGCAACGACAAGATGTATGACCTTAAGGAGACGCCCAGCGAGAACCCTAGCAGCCAGCTTGTAATCAACATTAAGAAGGGAGATCGGTCGCCAATTGCGAGGGTCGAGCCGATCACCCTTCTTAAACGACAGAGAGATGACACCACGACGTTGAGAGGAAGAGAGAAGACCCGCATCGAAACAAGAGTTAAGAACAGTGACCAGATCAGAGCCAAGAACATCCCAGAATTTGACATAGAACTCCATGGGCAGGCCGTCAGATCCGGGGGCCTTGTTTCTGGCCATACCCATGAGAGCCTCACGACACTCCTCTACACCTAAGTAACCTTCGCATAGGCCGGCCTGATCCTGAGAAAGAGCAGCAGACAGATTGGAAAGTAGAGACTGCTGAGCAGAGGAGTCCACAGGGGAAGCAGTGAAGAGGTCAGAGTAAAAGGCAGAGAAAGAATCACATAGGTCATGCGGGTCAGATACAGAAGTAAGACGAGGAGGTCTCACCGTCCTCAACCCAACGGATCCGTGAGCGAACCTGCGCTCCCTTGGCTAAAGCAAGATCTAACTCAGCCAGGCGGCTCAGCGTAGAGCGATAAGGCTCATAAGCTGAGACTAAACCCTCATCAAAACGAGCCTTTAAATGATCAGAAAGGCGGACCAAGAGATCTCTAGATGCACGAGTCTCCTGAGCCCGCCGAACACAATAATCCTTTGAAAGCTGTCGAATCTCTCTCTTACCAACCTCCCACCACTTGGCGAGGCTAGAAAAGCAAGTCATTTTAGAACGCCAACTACTCCAGAAAGATGTAATTAGTTGAACGTAGCCGTCCTCTCCAAGGACAGAGGCGTTCAACTTCCAGAGACCAGGACCAGGCGGGACGACACCAGGAACAAAGACAGAGACCAGAAGAGCACAGTGGTCAGAAAGGGGACAAGGAACAAAGTCACAAGACGACATAGACGCTACCCAAACATAAGGACAACCAATCAGATCTATACGCGAAGAAACGGTGCCG